GCCCTGATCCTCCCCCAAGACTTCCAGCCAGTCAGCGTCATGAGCATATGCATGTGCCGAGAGGATACATGTCCACTAAAAACCAAACCTTGACCTACCTCATGTCTCCAGTATCATGGAGCAGCACACTGCTATTATATCACCATGGCTGGATCTTTTCTCCTTCTCTCTCTCTATTTTAAAGTTTATTTTTTCCATGAGTGAGAGAAAGAGTCTCTATAGGGTCTCAAGGATGTTATCCATCACCAGCCTCAGCCAGTCCCAGAGCATGGGCACATGTCCATCTGGCATACTCAGGGAACTCTCCCATCCTGAACGCCGAGCCTTCCTACGTGGATCAGCTTCATGTTTTACTGCTGCAAAACCATTCCATCCCCAGTTTCTTTCTCTCTCTTTTAAAAAATTTTAAAACATTTATATTTATTTATTTTTAGAGAGAGAGAGAGACTTTTGATATAGGGCGTGTGCACTCACCAGAGAGACATAGAAAGTGAGAAATCACCCCTGGGGGGGGTGCCGTTCTGCAATCTCTTTTCCTTTATTCTCCTTTCAGGATTTTGGGTATGCATGCATATACGCCTGGCATGAGTTTAAGTTGCTGGGTCTGAGACTAAAATCATGGTCAACTATGTGGGAGTCTGGCGATATAACCATTACACCATCTGCTGGTCCCAACATTTATTTATCTATTTATTTGTTGTGATTTTCAAGCCACTGGATCCAGGACTCAAACCACTGTCAGCCATGTGGGAATCCAGCACCCTGACCACCATGCCACCTGCTGCTCTTAGCCTCCAGCTTCTTGATTGTGTTTGTTTTCTTTTTTTTTAAAGTACAAGAGTTTCTAATTTTCAGTAAATCTAATTTACTGATATTTTTCTTTAATTATACTTTTGGTGGTGTTTGTAAGAAATCCTTGCCTACCTCAAGATCATGAAGATTTACTTTACTCTTTCTTTTTCTTCTAAGAGTTTTATACTTTTAGGGAACCAGCAGTTAGCGTAATGGCTATGTTGCTGGACTCCCATGTAGTCGACCGCGGTTCGTGTCCCGGACCCGGTGGTTTAAAACTCACGCCGGGTGCGTGTGCGTGCGTGCCCAAGATCCCGAGAGGAGAATGGAGGAGAAGGGATTGCGGCGTGACCATCCCCCCTGGGGGGTGATTTCTTGCTTTCTGTCTCTATGTCTCTCTCTGTCTGTCTGGCGAGTGCATGCGCCCTATAGCAAAAACTTCTCTAAAGAGTTTTATACTTTTAGCTGTTTCTTTCCTTTTTTTTTTTTTTTTTTTTAATGTTTTTGCATTAAAGCCAGAAGGAGACAGAGGAAGAGAGAAGTGAGAAAGCTCTCCCCAGGGGGGTGGCCACACCATAATTTTTTCTCTTTCTTTCTCTCAGGATTTCAGGCATGCATGCACATGGGTCTGGGTGTGATTTTTCAAGCCACCTGGTCTAGGACTCAAACTGTGCAGCTAACCATGTGGGATTCAGTGCCTTAACCTCCGTGCTACCCACTGACATGATTTAATTCTTACATTTAGGTCTTTGATCTATTTTCAGTTAATCTTTTTGTGTCTGATATGAAATAGGGATCCAAGTTATTTTTTTCACATGTGAGTATTTAGTATCCTAGCACCATTTAATGAAAGAATGTCTTTCTCGTTGAGTATTTTTGCCATCATTGTCAAAATCCATTGACATCATGTTTTTTTTTTTTTCCGGAGTGGTTTTTGCTATAGGGCATGCGCGCTCGCCAGAAAGACAGAGAGAGACAGAAAGCGAGAAATCACCCCCCAGGGGGCATGGCCATGCCATAATCCCATCTCCTCCATTCTCTTCTTGGGATCTTGGGCATTCACGCACACGCGCCCAGCGTGAGTTTAAAGCTACCAGGTCTAGGACTCGAACTGCAGTCAACTACATGGGAGTCCAGCAACATAGCCATTACGCCAACTGCTGGTTCCAATCCATTGACATTGTAAGACTATTTCTGAGATCCCTTCCATTGAGCTATGTGTTTATCTTTATGCTGGTGCCATACTGTCTTGTTTTGTTTTGTTTTTGGGTGAGAGGTTTTCACTATAGGGCGTGTGCGCTCGCCAGACAGACAGAGAGAGACATAGAGACAAAGCGAGAAATCACCCCCCAGGGGGGATGGTCACGCCGCAATCCCTTCTCCTCCATTCTCCTCTCGGGATCTTGGGCACACACGCACACGCGCCCAGCATGAGTTTTAAGCCACCGGGTCTGGGACGCGAACCGCGGTCGACTATGTGGGAGTCCAGCGACATAGCCATTACGCTAACTGCTGGTTTCCAGGTGCCATACTGTCTTGATGACCATAGCTTTGTAATAAGTATCGAAACTGCAAAGTGTCAGTCCTTCCACTTTATTCTTTTCCAAGACTGTATTGACTATTTTGAGTCCCTTTTATTTCTATATGCCTTTTAATACTAGGTTGTGAATTTATGCAAGAAAAGAACCGGATAATTTGATAAGATCTAATTGAAACTATAATCAATTTTGTTAGTATTGCTTTTTAAAAAAAAATTTCTTTTTTTTTACAAGGCATGTACACTCAGGAGAGAGAGAGAAAGTGAGAAATCACTCCCAGGGGACATTGCCATGCCACATTCTCTTCTCCTCTCAGGAGTTTAGGCATGCATGCATACATGCCTGGCCTGTTTTTCAAGCTGCTGGGTCCAGGACTTGAACTGTGCCATTGACCATGTGGGATCCAAGGCACTTTAACCACGATGCCATGTATTGGTCCTACCCTTCCATTTATTTAGGTTGTCTTTAATTTTTTTCAGAGGCTTATAGTTTTCAGTGTAGAAGTCTTACATTTACTTCCTTCTTAATAAAGTTATTCTTATTTTAAGTTTAAGAGAGAGAAGCTCCTGTGACAGAGTCTCACATGTCTTAATTCTTCTCTCCAGATCTCCCAGCTGCCATGATATTGGGCATGCGACCACACCAGACGTGCTCATGTAGACCCAGGATCTGAACCCCATGATTGCCCATATGGCTCCAGAATCACACAGCAGCCCCTTACCACCTTTGTCACTGCCTAAGTTATTTTAAAAAATATTTATTGATTTATTTTTTAAAATATTTATTTACTTTTGGGAACCAGCAGTTAGTGTAATGGCTATGTCACTGGACTCCCATGTAGTCGACCGCGGTTTGCGCCCTGGACCCGGTGGCTTAAAACTCAAACGCCGGGCGCGTGTGCATGCGTGCCCAAGATCCTGAGAGGAGTATGTAGGAGAAGGGATTGCGGTGTGACCATCCCCCCTGGGGGGTGATTTCTCGCTTTCTGTCTCTATGTCTCTCTCTGTCTGTCTGGCGAGCGCACGTGCCCTATAGCAAAAACGTCTCAAAAAATATTTATTTACTTTTATTTATTATTTTTATTTTTAATTTTTGCTTTAGGACATGTGCACTTACTATAGAGAGAGAGAGAAAGAAAGAAAGCTGTCAGGTATGGGACTCGAACCACAGTTGGCCATATGGGAGTCCAGTGCCTTAACTACCACACCACCTGCTGGCCCCAAGTTTTTCTTATTGTATTGTGAGTAGAATTATCTTGTTTTTATTTTTTTGTTTGTTTGTTTGTTTGTTTTGAAGCTTTTATTTATTTTATTCATGGTAGCATATGTGTGTTACAAGAGAAGGAAAGGGGGGGAAGCATCTTTGATGGGGTCTCATCACATCATTAACCCCCTTCTGCCCTTCACTTCTTCAAAATCTTGGGTACATGCTGAGCATGTTTTATGGCAACCTGGGGATCTGAAGCTACAGGTGGTCATTTGTCTTCCTGCACTGCAGTTCAGTTTGCTACCTGCTGGACCACTAGCCTGGGCTCAGAGTTGTTATCTTAAATTCATTTTCGGGTTGTTCATTACTAGTATATAGAAATTATGCACCCATTTATCCTATGGGTAGAGTAAATGTTTGACTAGCATGATTCCTGACTGAGACTGTTGCTTAATTATGTTTCTTGATCAGCCACATTATATGCTACATATCTTGGCCTAGTTTTGGTTACCATAGGCTTAGTTCATGACTTTATGTTAGCCTTTATATCAGAAACATCAGAATAACACTTGGTATAATTTGGTTTAGTAAATCATATGTACTTAGTTACATAACACACACAGATATATATATATATATATTTTTTTTTTTTTTTTTTTTGAGAGGTTTTTGCTATAGGGCGCGTGCGCTCGCCAGAAAGACAGAGAGAGACAGAGAGATAGAAAGCAGGAAATCACCCCCCCAGGGAGGATGGCCACGCCGCAATCCCTTCTCCTCCATTCGCCTCTCGGGATCTTGGGCACGCACACACACGCTCCCAGCGTGAGTTTAAGCCACCGGGCCTGGGACTCGAACTGCGGTCGACTACGTGGGAATCCAGCGACATAGCCATTACGCTAACTGCTGGTCCCCACACAGATATATTTTTAATACAGAATTTTTTTTTTTTTTAGAGGGTTTTGCTTTAGGGACCGTGCGCTCACCAGAAAGACAGAGACAGAGAGATAGAAAGTGAGAAATCATCCCCCGGGGGGATGGCCACGCTGCAATCCCTTCTCCTCCATTCGCCTCTCGGGATCTTGGGCACGCACACACACGCTCCCAGCGTGAGTTTAAGCCACTGGGACCGGGACTCGAACCATGGTTGACTGCATGGGAGTTCAGCGACATAGCCATTACGCTAACTGCTGGTCCCAACACAGAAATATTTTTGAAGGAGAAAATAATTTGTTTTTATTTTTACATCATTGATAAGTAGTTTCTATATTAGTCATCATATGAAATTAAGAATGAAATCTCCCATAGTATTGTCCTTTTTATTGACAACTATTTTGCCTGTTACCAAAGTGTAGATAGCTTTTAAGTTGGTTTATTTCATTCAGTCTCTCTTTGTTAGGAGGTAAAGCATTTGACTTGTAAATTACTGTTTTGAGATGATTTCTAAAATGTCTACATATTTTTCAGGGTCAGTTAAATGAAAGCATGGACCATGGGGGAGTTGGACCATATGAACTGTAAGTTTATATGAAAAGATTTTCACTGTGCTATCTTTCTTATAAGTAGGTTATATCCGTTTCAGTTTATAACAATCATGTTATTCTGATCACCTGTTCTAAATATAATCATAGTAACAGACTTGGTTTATTGAGTTTAGCCCCAAAATCTGATCAGTGTAGTAACATATCCAGAGTTTTGAGACTACATATAGATTTAGAGAAAAAATATATTTATTTAAATTCAGAGTACGCTGAAAGTGCATGTGAATTAGTTAGGAATTTTTGAAAAATTTATTTAAATGCCCCAAAAGGTCAAATATTTTTTGTTTTGCTTTAATACATTATTCAGACAGATTCATGTAATCTTAAATCATTTTAGACAAACTGCTAGGTAAATATGATGATTGATTTGCTCTGTATACCCTCAGATAAAAAGAGTTGGTGTGCAAGGAGACTAGAAGATTGACTACTCATGTAGAAAATATTTAAATGACAAACACAATTAGCACCCCCTTTTGAGTTTCTTTAAATTAAGCTAATAACTTAGAAAAAAAGACAGGAAAAGATGCATGGATAAGTTTTATTAGCAAGAATTTTTGTAACATAGAGACTCAGCTAATTGAGTAATGTTAGAAAGATCCTAGATTTTCTTCTAAAACTGATAAATAAGGCTGGATGATACCTAATCTTATAAACATATGGAATAAATTACATTTGAATAACTAAAATAGTCTCTTCTTTTGTGAACTTTATCAGTTTTTTTCTAATTTAGTTCGGGGTGGTCGGTGCTTATGAAACTAAATCATCAACAGCACATTCTGTCAGTATGCAGGTAAACAGTTGTCAGGCCACCATAATTTTGACTTGCCATGTCATTGAGTCATCACTTTACTTAGAGCACAGTTATTAAATTTGCTGTCATATACCTTTGTCTTTTTAATGAATTGAATTTCCTTTTCTTTTTCCTCTTAACAGTATTCTGAAAGTGGCTTAATAATGTTTTGCAAACTTACTTTTGGTTTTGCTTTTCTTCCCAGTGGCATGGAACATTGTGAGAAATTTGAAATTTCAGAAACTAGTGTGAACAGAGGGCCAGAAAAAATCAGACCAGAATGTTTTGAGCTACTTCGGGTGCTTGGTAAAGGGGGCTATGGAAAGGTAGGAAATATTTTTGAGATGAAAGCTGTGTCTGTCTTGGGGAGGTTGTTTTTTTATACCTGAATTCCAAGCCATCATCTTAGTCTTTGTCAGCCATCAGTGATAGATAGGACCATGACCACTTATCTTGTGTGATTTGAGGGATGTAGAGAAGTTCAGTTTTCCTTCCTTTTCCTAATACTGCACATGTAAAAACCTGCCCCATAATAGGTACCCCATCAATATTTTTTAAGTAATTTTTTTTATTTAGCTTTATTTATTTTTTATTTATTTTATTTTTATTTGACCAGAGAGGGACAGAGTGAAAGAGAGAGAGGGAAAGTGAGAAAGCAAGCCGCCAGGTCTGGGACTTGAACCACAGTTGGCCATGTGGAAGTCCAGCGCCCTTAACCACCACGCCACCTGCCGGCCCTTCATCAATATTTTTTTAATAAATAAAAAGGTTACTGTGCCAGGCAAAGTCTGTTACTAGAATTTAATTAAAGGATTCAGTCTTTCCTTTGGTTAAAGGTACCATGCATAGGTATCCTCTTTAAAAACAAAGTACTCTATACTTTGAAGAAATATGACACTTAAGCTGTTACCTATTTCTGAGACCTTAATATGAATTGTTTTTCATTGACTTGTGGTATCTAGAGTAATAGAGTTATGAAAAGTAAAGGAATATAAAAAGGGAGAAGAAAATTTCTTAGTTTCATAGTTTCACTGAAGACTTTCTTGGGACCAGCAGTTAGCATAATAACTATGTCGCTAGACTCCCATGTAGTTGACTGCAGTTCAAGTCCTGGACCCAGCGGCTTAAACTCACTCCGGGCATGTATGCATGTGTCTCCAAGATCCCGAGAGGAGAATGGAGGAGAAGGGATTGCGGCATGGCCATCCCCCTAGGGGATGTTCTCGCTTTCTGTTTCTCTGTCTCTGTCTTTCTGGCTGGTGCAAGTGCCCTATAGCGAAAACCTTTCCAAAAAAAGAAAAAAAAAAAAAAAAAGACTTTCTTTCTTAAGACCTCACCTTTATGAATTTCACCCAAGGAAACTTAAACCTAACCATTTTTCCTTTCTCTCTCCCTGTCTCTGTGTCTCTTCTTTTATTGCCAGAAGGCATATGCCCTCACCTGAGAAAGAGAAAACATCCTTTGCCTCCAGGGCGAGGATTTGAACTGTGTTCAACCACATGTGAACTGGCTCCCAATGTGAAGCACTTAATCACTATACCACTGGCTCCCAATGTGGAGCACTAATCACTGTGGCACCAGCTAGCCCACATGTAGCCTTTCTCTATCAAAAGAAAATTTAGATACCAATTTGGTTAGGATTAAGTTTTAGAACCATATATGCATATGCTATATGCATACACGCATATACTCGTGCTATAGCATAGTGTTAATTTTTGCAAAGCACAATATTTGTAGTTTGTTCTTAGGCTTAAGAACATATTCTGATATGTTCTAATCATCCTGAATATGTTAGCACATAGCACCTTGAGTCACAAATATATTAGCTCATGTATGAAAATGTTTAATAGCTAGCTATTTTGAGGAATAGGTAAACAGTAATTTTCTGTCAGCTATTATTAGTTTTATGTGAAGCAAGAACAGTGGCACTGCTGGAAGTAATTTATGAAACACTTGTATTTTTTTTTTTTTTTTAAGTTTTTGCCATAGGACACATGTGCTCACCGGAGAAGAGAGAGAGAGAGACATAAAGTGACAAATAACCCTCTGAGGGGATGGCCATGCCACAATCTCTTCTCCACTTAGGATTTTTGGCATGCATTCATATGCGCCCAGCATGATTTTCAAGCCACCAGGTCTGGGACTCGAACAGTAGTCAGCCATATGGGAATCCAGCTGCCCCAACCACCATACCAGCTGCTGGCCCCAACACTTATCATTTTTACGTTTGGTATTGTGTATCTGGGCATCCTGATCGTAGCTTGTTTTAAATAAGCCAAGATTTGGAACCAGCTGGTGGTGTGGTACTGGATCCCACAGTGGGTTCAACCAGGAACTGGCGACTTGAAAAATAGACCACGTGTGTATACATGTGTATTTCCAAAAGAGGAGAATAGAGGAGAAGGGACTGCAGCATGACTATCCTCTGTGTGGTGGGGGTGCATTCTTACTTTTCTTCTCTTTTGTTCTCTCTCCCTCTCTCTGCTGAGCTCATGTGCCCTTTAGCAAATTAAAAAAATAATAAAAAGGAATAAATTTATAATAAGACTGATTGTAAAAGAGGAGTGTAGTTCTGGACCAAGATGGTATTAATGTGCTTTTAAAAAATAAAACAAATAGGGGCCAGCAGGTGATGTGGTTGCTAAGGTGCTGGATTCCCTCATGGCCAGCTGTAGCTCAAGTCCTGTACCTGGCAGCTTGTTTTCTCACTCTCCTTCTCTGTCTGTCTTTCTCTGGTGAATTAAAATAATAATAGGAATAAATTTAAATAAATGATTATTTTTAAATTAAATAATAAATAAGATTTTATGCATAGATTAGGACTTAATTGGATGGCCATTGCCCAGTTTTGCCACCAGATGGCAGCAGGTAAAATAGAAAACTCCCATGTTTAACAGATTTCGAATACTAAATCTTTAATATGGTTTATTCTTTTTTTTTTTAAGAATTATTTTTACTTTAACTTTATTTATTATTCTCTTCCAATTTGACCAGAGAGAGAGGATGAGAGAGGGAAAGTGAGAAAGGAAGCCACCAGGTCTAGGACTTAAACAATGGTTGGCCATGTGGGAGTCCAGCATCTTTAACCACCATGCCACCTGCCAGTGCCAATGTGGTTTATTCTCTAGGCTGACCATTTTTGTACACAGTCCTTCATGATACTAATTTTTACAATATGAAATAAGGTATAATTTGTTTCTTATAAATAGAAATTAAGGAAGTATGACTGACATGATTGACTTTTAATAACACACATTTTTTTTTAATCTAGGTTTTTCAAGTACGAAAAGTAACAGGAGCAAATACTGGGAAAATATTTGCCATGAAGGTGCTTAAAAAGGTGATTATTCCCTCCCTTTCTTCATTTCTTTACCCTATATTCTTAACTACTATAAAAATTTGGCCTAAAATTCTCAGTTGAAATATTATATTTCTAACATAATTATAAATCCTTTTAAAATGTAAGATATTTCATTATTATTATTCAAGTCTTATTTCTGTTTGGGGAGGGTGGAAAGAAGAAGAGTTTAATTTTTCTGACATAACTCTTTTAGTTGTTTCTGATCTCCATATTTGTATGTATTAGGTCACTGGTAAAGTCATGATGTATTTTTCTATGCCTTTCTATGCAAAAATTCTTCATGACTTCCCCGACAACCCAGTAATAAACATGTACTGCTGTGTCTTAATGTAGCAGTTTTAGAATTATGCTTTGATTTCCTATTATGATAGTTAAGGATTTTAATCTTTTTAAATCTTTCTTCCCTTTCCCCCGTCTTTCATTTGGCTTCATAGTCTTTGAATCTATTGTTCCCACACTTTCCAGCAACTCTATAAGATATCTTTCCATTTAATGTTCTTTGATCAGACTTATCAGATACTCTACCAGTTTCATTTCTTTTCCTAGAAGCATCTTTTTAGATACCTTTTTTCCTCCTCTTCCCATATGGCCTGGTAGTTCCATAGATATGGCTATCATTGTTGGACTCTCATTTCACTGGGATCCTTGGGATCCTTTCGGCTTCTTTATTGTGGGTCCTTTGTTTTCTGGATTCTTTATCTTCTTTTTTATTAGTTTATGCCATTATTATTTCTTTGTTTTGATGGTCATCTACTTGCTCTTTGAGAAAGCATACATGAAAGTAAAATTTTTTTTTTTTTTTTAAGTTTTTGCTATGCAATTGCCAGAGAGACATGGGGAGAGAGAGATAAAGGGGAAACATGATGATGCCAGCAGGTGGCGTGGTGCTTAAGGTGCTGGATTCTCACATATTCCACTGCTGTTTGAATCCCGGACCTGGCACTTTGAAAATGACACCAGGTTCTTATGTGTGCATGCCCAAAGTCACAGGAGGTAAATGAGGAAAAGGGAGTAAAATGTGGCCATCTCCCCTGTGGACTGATTTCTCACTTTCCTTCTCTCTGGTGAGCACATAAGCCCTGTGACAAAACCTTAAAAAAAAAAAAAAAAAGAAGAAGAAAAGCTAGGATTAGTAGGTAGCACAGAAGCTAAGGCAACTAGATTCTGAACAGCTAACTGCGCATTTGGAGTCCCAGACCCAGCGGCATGAAAAGCCAGGCACGTGTGCATGTATACCCAAAATCCTGAGAGGAAAATGGACAAGAAGGGATTGTGGCATGGTCATCCTCCCTGAGGCAGTGAGTTCTCACTCGCCCTCTGTGTACCTTCTCTCTCTCTATCTTCTCTCTCTCTCTCTGTCAAGCACACATATCCTATAGCAAAAACAAAAATCTAAAAAGCTAGAAATCACCCCCAGGAAAAATTGCCACACCACAATCCTTTCTCTTTCATTCTACTCCTGAGATTTTGGGCAAACACACACACTTGCCTACAGGATCTGGAATTCAAACCACAGATGGCCATGTGGGATCCAGCTGCCTCAACATCCATGTTACCTGCTGGCCCTGTAAATTTTTTAAAATTATAGTGCAGGGCCAGCCAGTGGCATATTTAAGGCAGCTGGCCCCCGCATGCCCAACTTTGAGGTTTTAGTCCCTGACCTGGTGGCTTGAAAAGCAGATGGGGCCAAATCCAAACAGGAGAATGGAGAAGAAGGGATTGTAATCTGGTCATCTCCCCTGGGAGGTGCTTTTTCATTCTCTCTCTCTCTCTCTCAGTCTGTCTTTCTGATGAGTCTACGTGCCCTAAAGCAAATAGAAAAAAAAAATTAAAAAACTATAGCATATTTGAGAAATTATCATATGTTATACTTGTTTGATTATTTAGGTATGACTTTGAAGTTGAAATCATTTTCACTCAGCATTTCCTTCATTTTCTTTGTTTGAGAGTTTCTGTTGAGAATCTCCTTTCCATTCTGACTCTGAATCCATTACACATTGCCTATTTTTCTCTGAAAATATTTAAAATTTTACTTCTAATGTTCTAAATTTTTATAGTGATGAGTCTTGCTTTAACTTTTATTATTTTTATTTTGTTTTGTTTTAGGTTTTTGTCACAGGGCACATACACTTTCCAGAGAGAGAGAGACAGTGAGAGGGAAAGTGAGAAATCACCATGGGGGAGATGTCCATGCCTATTTTCCTCCTGAGATTTTGGGCATGTGTGCATATGTGCCTACCATTATCCTCAAGCCACCAGGTCTGGGACACAAATCATGGTTGGCCATATGGGGGTCCAGCACCTTAACTACCATACAACCTGCTGACCCCTTTTTTTCTTTTTCTTTTTTTGAAGATGTTTTTGCTATAGAGCACTAGCCAGAAAGATAGAGACAGAAAGAAAGTGAGAAATCAGCCCCCAGGGGGGATGGCCACACCACAGTTCCTTCTCCTCCATTCTCCTCTTGGAGAATGCGCCCAGCATGAGTTTCTTTTTCTTTTTCTTTCTTTCTAGTTAATGAAAATAAATTTTATTATTATTATATTACATAACCTATTACTGAATACACCATATGGGATTTTCTTAAGTGACAAATGAGGCACATCTCTGATTCCTCTGAGAACCTCGATATCATCTCTCTTTTGGAGGGTCCAGTTTCTTATGATGCCTGTGATACTGTCCATGAGGATATCAATGGTGCTAGGTAGTAAAGAACGTTTTGCTAAGTTGCTATCGTGGGTCCTTGTCCAGGTTGTTCACTTTTCTTTTCTAACCTGGATTTCAGTACTCGACCACGTGTTTCTTCATTATTGTGCACAGGATCTGGTCTAGGGATAGGTTTTGTGTGTTCATATGGAATGTCCACAGATGGGTGGTAGCACACTATCGTCCTGCCATCAGATGTCAAAGCGAGCTCCACTTTGCAGTTACAGTCATTCCATGGTGAGTCAAGAGGCTTCTTAGGTGGCACAAAAAAAAGGTTGTTCTGAAGAGAAATTCCTTTTAAAATCTGCCTTTATACAAACTATTTTTCAACCCTTGACAGATTGTCACTGCGAGCCCACCATCTTGTCCCCATCCAGGTCCTCCTAGGAAGTTTCTTGATGTGATTTCTTTGATAATTTTCTTCCCAATTTTTTCTCTTCTTGAAATTGTAATTAATTGGATGTTGGACCACCTAGACTAATCATCTAATTTTTCTTACTTTCACCATTTGTTAAATTTTTTTTGTCCTCATTTACTTTCTTTTACTGCATTTTTTTTTTTTAAGAGAGATTTTTGCTATAGGGCCTATGTGCTCACCAAAGAGACAGAAAGTGAGAAATCCCCCATCCCCCAGGAGGATGGTCACGCTGCAGTTCCCTCTCTTCCATTCTCCTCTTGGGATTTTGGGGACACATGCACACATGCCCAGAGTTTAAGTGTGGCTTAAACTCATGCCGGGCGCGTGTGCGTGCATGCCCAAGATCCCAAGAGGAGAATGGAGAAGGGATTGCGGTGTGGCCATCCTCCCTGGGGGTGATTTCTCGCTTTCTATCTCTCTGTCTCTCTCTGTCTGTCTGGCGAGCGCATGCGCCCTATAGCAAAAACCTCTCAAAAAAAAAAAAAAAAAAAAAAAAGAGTGGACTTTGAAAATCTGATCAGAAGTTCTATGTATGTAGGCTTCTCTGTAAGGTAGTTAGGTGGTTAACTGGCAGTTAACCAAGAACTTCCAAATCATTGTATCTGTAGGTCTTTTTTCTAGGGTGGATCAGTTGCTGCTGAGAAAACACCTCCTTTCTTTTGCCTTGGAAAGGCATTTTAGAGTTGGATGAGAGAGAGCAGATAGAGATCTGACCTTTCAACCTGTAGATTCTCACTAAAGTCAAGTTTGTTTATTTTTCTTTTCTTTTCTTTTTCTTTTTTTTTTTTTTTTTTTGAGAGGTTTTTGCTTTAGGGTATTGGGGTGAGAAGTTTTTGCTATAGGGTATGTGCGCTTGCCAGAAAAACAGAGGGAAACAGAGAGATAGAAAGCGAGAAATCACTCCCCATGGGGATGGCCACGCTGCAATCCCTTCTCCTCCATTCTCCTCTCAGGATCTTGGGCATGCATGCACACGCACCTGGTGTGAGTTTAAGCCACTGGGTTCAGGACTTGAACTGCAGTCGACTACATGGGAGTCCAGTGACATAGCTATTACACCAACTGCTGGTCCCCCTGTTTGTTTATTTTTCTATATCTTTATTTGTTATTCTTTTTTCTTTTTGCTAGAGAGCACGTGTGCTTACCAGAGAGAAAGAGAAAGAAAGTATCCTCCAATGGGACATGGTCATGATGCAGTCCTTTTTCCTCCATTTCTTTTACCCAATATATTTTTCAAGCTTCCAGGGCTGTGACTCCATGGTCACTCCCATGGGATCTCACTCCCTTTAACCACTGTCCTACAATCAGGTTTTCACTTTAGCTCTTCACTCTAGCTCATCTTTCACTTGTTTTTCTGGAGCATACACTTGAGACTTAGTGGGGAGAAAGGAACCTTTTTTGGTTTATTGATGATTTTATTTTAGTTTTATAGTTTGCTCTAGGATGCGTGCACTCTCTGGGGAGAGAGAAAATTGAGAAATTTTTGTGATGGCCACACCTCAGTTCTTTCTCCTCTTGGGATTTTGAGCATGCACGCACACTTGCCTGGAGTGTATTTCAAGCTTCTGAGTCTAAGACTGGAGCTGTATAGTCAACCATGTGAGATCCAGCCTCCTCACGCCTCAACCTCCATACCACCTCTAGCCTGGTTGATTTTTCCTTTATATTTTTTCCTTTAATTTTTAAATCTTGCCAGGGTGCATAGCTGGAATCAACTTGTTTGTATTAATTCCCTTTACAGATATATAAATTTGATCTTATCTCCACTCTACTAGGTAGGTCATAGATCATTGCTTTATCCTCCTCCTGCTTTTATCTTTTGAGGTGTGGAGTTCCATGTGTCTCCAGCTTTTAT